CCGTCCCCGCGGACAAGTTCGTTCTGCCCCGCGTGGTATGGAGTTCGCGGCGCAAAACAACGGCGAATTTCGCAATAATTGCACATCTCTCTTCCCCCGCACAGCACACTCGACACGATGAGAGGAGCAGCCTTGTGCAGCCGGGGCTTTAGCCGGGATGAACTCGGTGCGGTGTCGCTACCAACTTCACCAACTCGCTCGGGGTTTGGCACAGCAATGACCGGCGTTTAATATCGCATCCGCCGCGCCCCACCCCGGCAGTTTACAGTCGAGTCGCGTTAGTGAGCAGGAGTTCAGGGGGGAAAAGTTTCCTCGAGTGGAAATAATGAGAGAGCATGCGTGAGCTCAGGGGAGGGCCAAACGGATTGCTAATCCCGTATGACGCCTCTTGCAGAGGCTGCCTTTTAAAGAACGTGGAGATAACACACTGACGGTACTGGCTCTACTTCACGAAAAGGAAGTAACTAGGTTGTGGAATACAGTATATGGATGAGACCCGAGGAAGCCACCCATTTCTCGACCACTTCTGAACATTTTGTTGGCTCCCTCTTGTCTGATCCTACTCATAAACATGCATGAGCAGTGGTAAACAATTGGAGAAGGTTCTGATGACTGAGTAAACAAACTGCGATTAAAATAAAAGTGCTTTATGGTGTGAAACTTTCAGAAATTAACGACACAATAAATTTTTAACAATGCGGTCGTGGACAGAAAAGACATTAAATCCACACAGTCTTAAAAATTCCTTTGCATATCATCACTACCAACTAAAAATTGAAACAAGATATAGAAAAGTAATCCGACTAACATTTTACACATTCATTTGAAATTCTTGCAATACATTCTGTTAATGGGACAGATTAGTTTCTTATTGTTACACCAACATGATATTTTCTGGCAAGTGTAGGAGCATGATAAAAGATACGCAATAAATGGCACTTTTAAAATGAGTTTGTTAGTTCGTGATATTTTAGATTTCATACTTTTCATCATAGTTTTCTGCCAAAGCATACAAACTCTCTAGACTTTCTTCATATTCATCAGCTTCAAGACCTGCTTTAGCATATGCAGGGAAACGCCGGATATTGAGTCTAGCTGTTTCTGAGTGTAGTGATTTCAACATTACTCCAATAGAATCACAACTGTTAACACTAGCAACGACAGGTACCTCATTCATATCTAAAAAAGAAAAGAAACATTGAAAATTTATATTGTTGTCTTTCCTGTTGTCTTTTTTAAAATTTACAATAATAAGTTATTTACTTTGTTAGT